AAAAAAAAAAAAAAAAAAAAAAAAAAAAAAAAAGAGCATTCAAAACAAATCACTTCAAACAAAAACTCCGAGTCAGGGTACTTTCGGATTATAAAAGCTAATCGCTACCGACTGCACAGGAGGTTTGGGGAGAACTAACCTTTTTTTTAAAAAATATTATAACAATAATTTGAGGATACATATAGACACATAGAGCAAACAAAAGAAAATCACTCCCGAAAGTTTTACCGCTCACTACGTGACAAAAAAATCAATCGACAGAGCGACTGTCAGAAAAGACAAGAAAAAAGACAGAAAAAAAATGAGCAACGAGCAACCCAGAGTTTCATGCGACGCAGCATTAACATTACAACAACTTTTTTCTCTCAGCTGCACAGAGCCTCTTGTGCCATCGCTGTGCGAGTGAATTTATTATTGAAATCACAAAATATCCAAACATTAATCCAATGAGAATGGAAAATATCTGTTGAACGGTATCGGTCCCCTAAAAAAAAAATAAAATAATTTTTTAAAACAAAATTTTCAAAAAAAATGAAAACAGAAAAAAAATTCCTAATTACTAACTTAACAACATCAAGTATTTTCAAGAAGCTATCGGCACGAAAAGAACCGAATAACACAACAGAAAACCAAAAAATATCAAGTTTAAACCTGAGGTATTTGCTCGCTGTGGAGCTTCCTCTTCTGGTTCTCAAAGAACTTGCGTAACAAATTTTGCAGTGGCACTCCAACGTACGGTACTTCACTGTAATCAAGAGTAATGAATACTTGTAAATGTGAAAAATCTCTTTTATCTGTATCATATAAAACATACCCCATATAATGAAGAAAAGCTGTAAGATGTTGATCGCTAAATGCCAATACTACTGCGAACATCTGCAAAGAAGAAGTATAAAAACAGGACAATTAGAATACCCTTTCAGTGATCCACACGAAATTTAAATAAAAATCATTGCAGAATAGATTTGCACATAGCCGTCAAGGAACCAGTAGGTATTTAAAGTCCATTTCTGCTGCATAATTTCACTCACCACGGGAAAAAAAATCTACGATATCGGAAAAGATTGCAGATTTTATTCACTATTCATAGCTTTTCCCTCTTATAGAGGAAGTGTAACAACGGTTGCGTAGTAATTTATGCTATTACGAGAGAAACAGAATAGTCTTTAAAAAGTTGCATGAGTCTTATTTCCTTGCGTTCCGTATATCGTCCAGACAAAAAGAAAACTTGGTTAGCTTGTAACCTTCCAACAAAGTACAGCAATCTAAGTAAACTACATGTTCCACTAGAGGAGAATAAAACATCACTGCAACTACTCAAAAGACAAGAAACTGAACAGAAGCAGTATAATAAACACTTGCGTGTAATGCTACTTAAAATAACCAACCTGTAAATGCATCTTTATTAAAGCTTTCCCAATTAATGTTGCGCCAAAGAATGTCCAGAATGGAATTAGTAGATACCCGCAAGTAATGCCTGCTAAATCAAAAAGTGGGTTCGGAATCTGAAAATATTCTGTTATTATTCCAAGGTTTTGTGACAGGGCAGAAGGAACATTTTCTCTAAGCAATCGCACCGTCTAACCAGCCACAAATCGTCAAAAAAATTGAACGCAGCAATTTTAATAGCAAAAAGTGACAAAAACCTTAAATTCTGACCATAATCAGGTTCCTTACTCACCGAAGCACAAAGTAAAATCCCAAAGAACCCGATTTTGTCGATCAAACCGGTCATGAATCTTTCAACCCTCAACTTCAAAAGTTTTAAAAATGATGGCTTCGTATCCTTTTCGACAGCTTTCATGTATGCTAAATATTCCCTAAAAATGTTCAGTCTACTTTTGCCATCTTCAAAAAAATGATATTCAGTAAGTTAAGAAAAGAAGGCATTTACAGAACTGCTGCTGAAAAAACAGCCAAAGAAAAACAGCATTCAAAATGAGAGCACCTGTATTCTTCGTCATCAGGTTCTTCACCAGAAATTCTTGCAGCTTTAGCCATAAAATACGGTGGTAATTCACCCAAAGCAGTACCCGCTCCCCAACATAATGCTTCCCAGCGAACCTGGAAAAAAAAATGAATTCGATGGAATTAGGATTTTCTTACAACCCCAGGAATTCCCAGCAAAGCGGAAAAAGCTAAGAATGTTAGAGCCAACCCACCACTTAGAAAGGTTTTACAGAGCGAAGTAACAAGACTAGCCATTATTGAAAAAAATATAAATTTCTAAATTTCTTTCTCGAACACCAGTTTTAAAAAGTCAAAAAATCATTTAGAACGCGTAATTCTTTCGAAAGATAAGGCCGCTTCTTTTGTAAAGTAGCACAGAAAAAACTAAACCCTTCAGGCAAAAAAAGCTTCCGAAAACTTAAAACCAGCTTCCCTATCATCCAAATCATTCTTAAATAATAAAGGAAAAGAGGCACAGCAAAACTAAAGCTTAATTTACGACACAGAAAATAAAACTATAAATGGACTACCTTAGACATAATTGCCCACATGGTAACTGCGGCCTGCTTCAGAACTCCACCGTTTTCATTCATATCTGGACAAATAAGTCTGAAAAAAATTGCCTATTGATGGTTTCAGCGGTAAAGTAAATTAGATTATTTTCTGAAGTACAGAAAACCGACTGGTTAGGATATGGTGGCTCAGGAAAGTCCAGCGACTGGCAAACATACGCAGCAACAGTTACCTGAGCAATAAACGGCCCCTAAAAATAAAAAATAAACAAGCTATAACAAAAGCAGATAAACAGGGCTTGAATATTAATAGCTAGGAATGAGCGTCAAATTTGAAGGTCTGTAACTAGTCACAACTTTACTGACTTTTTTTCACATTGACAAGCAGCCCATTCAGAACTACTATAAAAAGATCTCCACAACAACAAACTAAATATGCAAGACAAATAAATACTCAAGTAGTCAGTAAGATTTTTAATGAAGAACGCTTTCCAAAAAAAAAGGAAAAACAAAACTCACAAGATACAGTAAAAACGTGTGCAAGCCAAAACCTAGCCCAACAGAAGAAAGAATGCCAAGTCCAATCCAAGAACAAAAGTTCAAGCCATTCTTGCGAAGTATATCAATATATGGTTGATGACGACCTGGGACCTTACACGTCCAATAAAGGCCGTAAGATACGAGCAAAAGAAAGATCACTGATATGCTATTTCGTCGAAGACTGGAAAAAATCTTATTTGAAGGAGAAAAAGACAAAAAGAAAAATATGATCACTGAAGTCCTTAAAAATCAGTTAGAATATTTTCTGAAAAAAGTGAAACTCTACTGCAGTAATTTTTACCAATTATCAAATTTAGCAACACAAACCAAAAAGCTGTTCTGCACCTTAGACCAGTTCCTAAAACCACTTACTAATGTAAGAATTGGATGAACAAATGCGTTGATTCTCTAGTAGCGAAATATGTCGTCTGCAAAGGCCGTTTCCATAAAACTATTCTCTGCCTTTCTAAACGATTCAGTGTATTAACTGAAGGACTGGGACGTAATCCTTTCCCGCTTGGCTTCATAAAGTAATCGTCAGAACCAACAAATTTTGAACCACCATTCTTTCTAAAATAATGCATCAATTAATTCTCACAATATCTAGGTAAATTTTTAAAAAATAGTAAATGTATTTCTTTAGAGTTTGAATGAAGAGGCAGTAAAGAAGAATATCACTAAAAAGAAAAGACAAGAAAATTATACTAAAACAAAGGCCAAAAATTTCATTTTCCACATATTTTAAAAATGATACGTTGTATATGTAATATAATAATAAATGTTTCAAGCTTTCCTATAAACACAATACCTATGAATTCAATATTGCAGACCTCGCCTGACGAAAACATTTCAAAAAAAGAGAAAATATTTCCAAAAAAATTTTTTTGAGGAAAACCCTTCTATCTCTAAATCATTGAAACCATTTCAATAATCCCCAAAATGTAGAAAGGAAAAACATATTGAGTAAAGAATACAAATTTTTAAACAGCCATTCTTAGTGAACCTTTCAACTCTCCTACACTTTAAACAACGAAGTAAACTCCTGCAAAAATTAAACCCAAAAAAACAGCCAAACAGAAATGGGTTACTTCGGTGAACGAACGTTCCCATCAAAGGTTACAGTTTTCAGCATATTCGAAGATGAGCTAGTGGGAAGCGATGAATGGTCATCAACAAGACGAGATCGTGAATTTTTTTTCTTGCCCATATTCAACACCTCCTACTCTGCTGAAACGAGGACGGTAATGACAACTGAGGAAGTCGGGTACAGCTGCTACCGTAGCAGAACGACGTAAAGGTACCAGAAACAACAATTATCCTAAAGTGTTGTAGAAATTCAAAAAATTTTATTTTATACAAAATTTGAAACAGATACTGCTTAAAAAGTCCGAGTAGCAATATTATCATCTAACAACAGACAATTAAACTATGACAAATCACCGATCAATTTCCATGAAAACGTTGAGTCAAAAGGAAATAAACAGAAGTAATCAATCGTGAAATGTGCTCTTCTGTCCAAGAAGCAGTTCAAAAAGCGCTGCAGTTTAAAGAATGAAAATATCAGTGCAATTTGTACATAGAGAAAAAAAAACGCAAAAAGTTTAACGCTCATTACTAATGCCGTCTAAGCCACAAATGCATCTGATAAACTAACATTCACCAACAGTACTTAGCAGATCAAGTAAATCGAGATATACATCTGTAATTAATGCTCATTATGTATTAAAGAACGGAACGAAGCAATACACAAAAAAAGCTAAAACTTCAAAATACAGACTGTAAGCCTACAACAACACCTTAAAAACGAAACGCACTAGGTGGTCGATGCTTAAAAAGTGATTCGGAATTTTCTTAGGGAATGACTACTAAAACTGTCACTTTCTATTTAAGATAATCAAGAAGTTTCATTAAAATCTCCCATACGAATAAGGAGGAAAAATAAAAATTTTTGATTTATTTACCTTGACTGCATCCCATATTAATAGTCCAACGCTTCCGAGCATACAAAAAACATGGCAACTAGCCAAAGCTAGAAGATTTCATGTTAACAGCACAGTCAATCGAACCCTTTATTCTAAAAATCTAAAATTTTCAAGGGGAAAACTCGTTTTATTCTTCACTGAAAATAATGGCTATATGGTTTCAAAAAACCAACCTAAAATAGGCATTTCAGCTGCAACTTTAATAGATATAAATCTATAATCCGAGCTTATGTTTACGCTGCAGTGAAAAATCCTAATACCGTTTGTCAACAAAAAAAAAAAAAAAACAGAGACACACTTTGTTGGCAAAGCTTGTGATGTCAAGAAAAAGCGAGTGCACAGCAAAAAAATATTTAGAAAAACAAAAACCTATACACGTCGTCGATAAACCTAACCTTCTCAAAAAAGCTATAACAAAAATCCTCTCCAACCAGCAGCTAAAAAAAGCACATTTGTTATGAGCTTTATGCGCATAATCATCGTACGAATAAAAATCAATAACTGCACTTCTCAAATTAACTAACCATCAACTTATTAACATTTGAACAAAAAAAAAAAAAAAACATAAAATGAATAGTCAGATAAAAGCCACGCAAAGTTAAACGTTTACATCAGTCAAGTCACCACAAAAAGAAACTAGTAAAAGTTGAAGTTCTATTCTATTTAACTAAGTAAAAGCTTTCATTGTTAAAAAAGATCCCACCCAGTGGAAATGCTGATTGCAAGACTCAAAAAAAAAAAAAAAAAAAAACGAAAGCTAAAATTTCAACAATCATAAAATTTTTTTTTTAAAAAAATTCTCATTAGCTTTACAGCACAGTTAGCTTTCATTATAATCGTAACAAAAATCTTGAAAAAAAACCAACAATCTTTTTTTTTTTCCAAACTTAAAATATATTTAATGATTGCAGTACCATTTGAGAGGGATTGTTCGAACAACAAATAATGAATGTTTTTCAAAAATCTGATTTCTGAAGAACAACTATTCAAATTCGAAGCGTATTTTGCTAAAGAGCAAAATAATTCAACTGTAACCTAAAAAATGACTATAGTTTGGCTACTGATACGTAGTGCTGACGTGGCAGCCAGGAAATAACACCGCTTTGAGCTAAAATCAATGACAAAAAACAAACAAATGGAGAAGAAAATTTTCAAAT